ACTACTTTAATGGAGATAACCACAATGGAGACAATCAATTTTGATCTCGAACATATACAATAATCTATTACAAAGACATAAATTTTATTTTAAAAAATACTTTTAAAAAAATGAAGTAAGAATTTTATTTTTTTTTGTGTGTCTATACTCATTATACTGCTACTATAGCAACCAATAAATCTTGACACTAGTTTTTGTTAAATTAAAGAGAAAAAAACCCACACATTCAATCAACTAATTCAGTGGAAAGTACATCAAAGTCTTGGGTCCTAATGATCTCAGGACATGTCTATTGGACAAAAACATCCCTCTAAATACGAAACAGGAGGTGTTAATCTGCTAAATATTAGTCCAAATATCGTTCAATTCTGTTTATTATTTACAAAGATATGACAAATTGAAAATTTTGCAACATTCAGCATCCTCTGAGGATGATAAACCAATTGCCAGAGCCACCTATAACTGTTAGGTCAAATCTTTTGACGGGCCTCCATTTTAATCTGATTGAATCTAACCCAGGAGATTATCTACCTTTGGTATTTTGGTTTGGTTTTCTTAATTGAATCTTAGATAATCAATATGAATACAATTTAACCGTAATTGCTAGAAAGTCTATTACTTGTGTATGGTCTGACTGAAGTCCATATCATTCTGAAAGTCTATTAATTGTGTATGGTCTGAAGTCCATATCGATCTGAAAGTCTATTAATTGTGTATGGTCGGAAGTCCATATCAGTTCGAAAGACTATTAATTGTGTATGGTCTGAAGTCCATATCGGTCTGAAAGTCTATTAATTGTGTATGGTCGGAAATCCATATCGGACTGAAAGTCTATTCATTGTGTATGGTCTGAAGTCCATATCGATCTGAAAGTCTATTAATAATTGTGTATGGTCTGAAGTCCATATCGATCTGAAAATCTATTAATTGTGTATGGTCTGAACCCACATCGATCTGAAAGTCTATTGTGTATGGTCTGATGTCCATATCAATTTGAAAGTCTATCTTTGTTATTAATGTATGGTGTATACTGTATATTTGCCCTTTAGTCAAGATAGTGTACCTTTAAGTGAAATTTAATTTCCACACAGCCTCAGGGTATACATTCTTAAAATATTTTTATAAGTATAGACTTTATGCACTTTCAACGCCGATCTATAAAGATTTATCAATGCATTTAAGTCACTGAAATGGGAAAAAGAGAATTGTTCTGGGAAACGATAACCTAATACACAAGACAGATAAGTCCAATTACACTGGCCCAGGTCTGGTTCTGGAATTGATAAAATATATTTTGCACATTTACACTATCATTGCCAGAATAGCTCTCAGTACCCGGTATACTGTATGTGGTTTGGTGTGGATTTTTTCACAAAGAAAAGTTAGATCTGGCCAACTCCACACAAGTGAATGTTGGACTGGAAAAATCCTGACATTTTTCTGTCAGCCCATGTCAGAATTGGAACCTAGGATATTGTAGACAACGGTTCACAAAATTATAACTTCGAGGTCTCTAATGCAAACACAACCTGACCATTTCTCGTTATTCACTACGTTATAATAACACAATTTCTCCTGCTTTATCGTTCAGGTCACGGAAATTGATTTTTGATGCTATTTTGTCTCCATGTTTGCTCTAATCTTGTCTCGGAAGTTAATGTAGGATCGTAAATTATTGAAAATCCGGCGATATTGAATTATTTCTCAATCTATCCTTGTAGTATTATTTCAGATATTTAGAAGTTATCTGATTACATGATAAAACCACAGTCCCAATACAGCCGTAGAGGAAGAATTCCCACATGTAGTGTCAATGATTAAAGATACATTATGTAAGATTTAGATAAAGAGCTGGCCATTCTCACTATAAATTTGAAAAATAGATAATTGAAAACTTCATTCAAATTACTTTATTTTGAGCAAAATTATCAATGGTTGTAGATTTGACAAGATGTGTGCATTGATCGTAACCACTACACTGGTCATTTGAGTCTTAGCCTCGCTTCTCCATTTTTAGATTAAACATTAAATGGCCAAACCGTTCTAATCTACTTAAAAATAGAGCCATCCTATGACATCGATAGTTGATTATGACCATGTCATGTTAATATATGTCTAATTAATAATTTAATTTAGATAACATTTTCAGGCCCAAAGAAAGACCTGCAATTGGCACAAATTTTTCGGCATAGCCTTGGTCATCATTTATTGTTACTTATGTCGGTATGATAAAAAAACATAGCTCGATTATCCATTTTTGGATTTAATCATCAATGAGCGTTGAGCAGCAGATCTAATTCAAATCCAGTGAAAATTTGACGCATAAGATGGCATCGAGAGTTGATTAAGGTCTTTTCATGTTAGGAGGGGGAGGGGGTGGATGGCCGAATGGTTAACACTTGCATGCTGCATCATAAGGTCTGTCATTGAGTCAACTGGCGTGGTTTCGATTCCCCAGTTGTACGTGACAAGGATAGGGTCGTCTGTCCAACCTCGTGGGTTTTCTCCGGATCCTCCGGTTTTCCCCCACTGCTAAAGACACTTAGTACAAGCGAATTATTGAAATAAAATTGAAACATATGTTAGTCCCGAAATGACCGAGTTTCTGTTGCGTGGATGTTAAACTCTCTCTCTTTCTCTTTTTTCATGTTAATAAGTCTAATTAATAGTTTATATAACATTCCAGGCCTAAAGAAAGACCTGCAATAGGCAGATTTAGCTCAATCTTGCATAATGTATGTTTAACTGGCACATCCTATATTTAAAGTGATAGTTGAATTTGTTTTTAAGTCACCTGTTTAAAATATGTTAAAGCCTTAAAACACAGTACAACATGTAACTTATTAATGGTTCATCCTATTAATCTGATAATTCACTAAATTGTCAGTTGAGAAATTGGCAAATATATAATTTTCAATTCCATGACGAGCGGTGTTATTGTTAGAACCAATTGAGGTGTGCAGATTGTTTTGGTCGACAACCAGGCATCGTGATCTTTATCTGTTTGACCACAAAACTTGACAATCAAGACAAATCCTGCGAATTCCCCGCAGACATTATGTAGACTTCGATTACCAGTGAAAAGAAATGATAAAATTTCCAAGTGCCATGGGTGAATAGAAATTATTTCACATTTCATTTAATCAGAATAATTCCTATGATTGTATACATACAGTGATTAGTTTAAATAGTTAATAGATTAATCTGTATTCAGTGAGTACTATTATAACAGTTTAAAATCAACTCAGTTTAGTACAGGCAAGCAAATTATTGAAAATAAGATTTACCATGTTTTTGTCCCATAATAACCCTGTTAAGTGTGTAGGAAACCTCATTGGCTAAAAATGATTCTGCTCCATGTTTACAATGATACATTGAATTGAAATTTATCTGATCTCTGTTGCTCACTGTGTAATGTGCCTGTCACCATTTTGTTGTGGGTGAAAGAAATTAAAAGGCTTATTTTAAATCTTATTGAATGCATACTGGGAGTTTATCTAAGGTGGATTTTGTTTTCTTAATTGAATCATCAATCTGAGCACATATTTAGCCCGTTCCTGAAGCAATGACTGCAAGATTAACAACATCTATCCGTTCCTAGATTACTTTACAATTCCTGAACTTATAACTACGTTATCTGCAGAAACTTGAACAGTAGCATCCAATCAGAGGTTGTGACATAGCGACCTCCACGAAAATCTTGACATTGAACAAAACTTGAACTTTTCAATTCAATTATCACAGGTAGACATTTTAGCTTGAAAGTGTGAGACTTGGTATTCGCGATGATCAAGGAATCTGATAGGCTCCCAAGGTGTGTGAATACCCAATCAAAATTAGTGCTGAAATATGCAGGGTATTGCATGATGGCAATATATCAAGCCTTCTATTGAAGATGATATTAGCCTGGTTTAAGCAATGAGAAATTTGATATTTTAGCCAATGACACAATATTGGAATAATAACTCATTCATTACTGTATAGTTATAGTTTGTGGTACCTGTTAAAACTATCATATTTGATGTGTGTATGTCTCATATTTCACATGTATCATTCCATGTCACACTACTCCTGGAAAGGTCCACTTGATTGACTTGTTAAATATTGAATAAATGACATTGATAGATTAATGTAAATAATTGGGCAGACAGTTATAAATACACAACCACACACAGAAAACATGTACAAGATTCATTATCGTGATTAAACATTAATGATGGGATCTTTTCATTTGATTAAAGAAATTCTAATTGGAATTACCAGTTTAAAAATCTAATACCATTTTAGATGTCAGGATGACATTTAATATTGATACCATACCCTATTAATGTTCCACATAACACTTTAAAACATTAAGATTATACCCCATGAAAGTCCCAGGATACCCCTTATATGGAAAATAGACCCTGTGAACATCCCATGACACCTTCTTCAATATCATGTGACAAACAGGCCTATTGTACTGCCAAAGTTATGGTCCTTGATCACTTTGAAAAATATTATAAATTATACATCATTTTACAATCCCAGGATATCCCCTTTAAAATCCCAGGATATAATATAACCCATTTAAAGTCCCCGGACACCAGTTATTTGAAGTGACATTTTCTTGATATTCCTGGTGAACTGGGACTTCAAATAATGGGGCTCTATCTCTTTAAAGACATCAGTCATGCATGTTTGAATCTACCTCATTTAGGGGAATTGATTGAGTAGCACAATTCTGTAATAGCCGTGTTTGGGAAACCCCCATTGATGGACAGAGCTAGTGGATCTGTATTGATCTCCTATCAACCGCATATAAACATACACATATACACTGCGGACCGACGTCAAGTCTTTAGTCTCGTTTGGATGTAGATCTATAATAGTGATGATTTATTACATCTCTGTGTGTCTGGAAGTTATCACAGAGTTGAGTTTCACTCGTAATCAACCAGTGTGTTTTCTAGTCAATATAAGCACTGTTCTTTAATAGTTTTCTTTTTGATTTGACTTAGTGAAAGATTGAAGCCTGTGAACAAGTGCTGAATGGTAGATTGTTGGAATTTACGTTCCAGAACACCAGAGTTGTGATTTCTTAGGAATTCAACAGAATATAAATTTTTACTGGTCAGTCGAAATAATTGTTTTTTTTAAAAGGCTTTTAGCACTTTATAGTTATTGGGTAGAGGCAAGGCATCTCTCACAGACAATATCAGACACAGATTTAGTCTTTGTCAGACAGAATTCGTCTGTTGCCAGGCATTTGTCTATTTTCTGTGTTGTGTATTGATATATTTAGTATATATCTTGCACAAAGCCAAGGAGTGTCAGGTAACATGTATACAGTTCGATGACATTTATTTATTTCCAAATCTGGTTGCTGAGTATAAAAAATAGTATTTTTACAATTGGCATTTGAATAGTTTTTCTAAGAAAATGGGCATGTTTTTTGTATGGGTGGGGGTGGAGGTTGGTGGTGGGGGGGGGAGGATTTGTTGTTAGATTTCAATTAAATCAATCTTTTATTCATCTATAATCATCTGGTAAACTGGACTACAATTAACTCAATATTATGCATAGCCTTCGACATTGCAAACACAACTTATTGGTCAATTTAAATCAACATTGATGTTATCTTACCGTGAAAAGATGGGCTTCTGATATCCAATATTTAAGACAAAAGAAAATTTTAAAATTGGCACACGAATCGCATGCCAGAATGCTTTCGAGCGCCATTTGTAATGGAGCAACTTGATGAATGAGGCTAAACACATCCCACAGGAGAACACCACCTGTGTAGACTGGAAAAACCAGATGCCAAAGACTGCCCTTCAGTTTGGACTCTTCGCATATTTCACCAAACCTAACTAATTAGAAATTGCAGTAAAAACAGAAACGATTGAATGTAAATCTCTGTTTATATACATTCATATTACATTATTATATGTGTTGCGAGTTGCGACCCATATGCAAAGTTTTCTTTTAATCCAAGAAAGTCAATGGTTTATAAATAGACCAGATTGTGCTGTTATATTCCAATATAATGTAGTATTCTTCTATAGATCGGTGCACAATAAAGAACGAAAACTACAGTTAATTTAACTATCTGGTAATATTCTGAAGATTTCCAAACTAGAAACTTAAGTCTTCCTTGACTAACAATTGTCATTAATTGAGCAATGGCTGCTATTGATTTACCAGAATAAACGCTGCTATTAAGTACATATCAAATCTTGTTTGCTTTTCCACCCAATAATTCGCATCTCAATATGAACTAAAAGAACAATTTTTTACTTGAAATTCTGTCAGACTTTTTCCAAAATTGAATCCAAATTATCACTCTTATTATTGTTAATTATTAATGTTCTATCTCATGACGTCAACTGGCATACTATCAGAACACAGCCCCCGTCAAGACTGGTCGCATCTTTCTTGTTAATCGTTGTTTTTTGTTTTTCGCTTGATTTGATTGAAGATTGAAGCTTGTATAATTACAGACTCTGGACTGTACATCGCTGCGCCCGGATCCATTCACATGATTCAATGTTTTATATTTATTGCTTTCAATGTCTGTGTAGTTTGTTTCTTGTCCGCATATATGTGTCTTTTAGTTACATATGTACTGACAGTTCTCACTATAATAGTTCAAAAATAGATAATGACAAGGGAATATGTTGAAAATATCAGTCAAATTACTTGACTCTAGGCCTATCGGCGAATCAATTACAGTCTAGCTTCAATTGTCATTGCTAACGTTTTTACGATAATAAACAAAGTCTTGGTTATCCATTTTTATGGTAACCGCAAAACGTATTGAAATCTACTAATATCAGAGCCATCCGATTGCATCGTGAATTGATTATGGCCTGGATAAGTTAATTAATGTCTAATGGATAATTTATATAACATTTAAGGCCTAAAGAAACACCTGGAATAGGGAGATTTAGCTCTTTGAGTGATGCCTGTTTAAATGATGATAAATGATTCCCAGATTGATTATTTGATAGAAATAGATATATAAATCTATTTATGTCTGCTCTCTCCGTCGGCATTATCATCATCGTCATTTGATCCAGCAGCTACACAGATCTATCCGTCTGTTCAGTCTCTGCTTTAAGGGAGAGTTGCCTTTCTCCCTTCCCCTTCCTTATTGAATAGAAATAGAAAATATTTTAAAGAATGACTACGAGTACGGACCATTTTTTTTTATATTTTAACCAATCCCTAAGTTCTGACGTAGAATGATGCAAATATTAGCCAATAAAATGCAGTATAAATTGACAAGGTTTTACATGTGTTTATGCTAGAGTATTAAACAAAATCATTTTGAGTCAAATTTAATAAGAAGAAAATAGTTATGACTTGATCTTCCTAAATTATTATTATATAACTGACTGATTTAATCATATTTTGACTTAAAGATACATTCCCAGGTACAAACTGGGTGATTTGATGATATATTTGGACTAAGAACATATTCAAACTAATTAATTTATCATAATTCTGCTTCATCCTTCTCAAACCATTGCAATTGTCGGGGAATACCCTGGCTATAAAAAATCAATCAAAAGAGGTCATGTTTGTGTCACATGACTTACCTCTCTCGGTACCTTGCAACGCAAGTGAAGTCGGAGGAGAATTCATTGCATACACAGGACGATGTTGTCTTTAATCCCTGACTATTTATTACATATATATCGAAGCCTAATTAAATTTTCGGATTATCCACTGCCGTCCGCATCTTTTTCCGTGATTTTTATCTAAGAAAGTGTTGTATGTCTAATTCTTCGTAAAGTATGTCAAGCGCTCACTCTCCATGTGCAACCTTCGACGTCACGCGTGCCAACACTCCTAATCGTCGGGCTGTCGATTAGGGAAACCCGTACATTTTTGTCCTGTATGCGCTCCATGGGTGTTTTTCAGGGAATCCAGTATTTTTCTAGTAAAATTGGATATTTCTACTTTCCATGTATACCAAAATTGCCATACTTTTATTGGAAATAACCACCCGATAAATACTTTTCTGGGAACATAGCTTTAATAATACAATTAATAATCAAAGTTGTTTTGATTCTGTATGATCTGAAACTTTATCTTTAAAACTTTATTGTGAAATATTATAAAGAAATCCGAGTTAAGAATCTTGTTATGATGTCTGTATCTAAAAGGTTAAATATCGATATGTGCCACAAGGGTGAATGTTAATCAGATTAAATAAACTCCTGTAAATGTCAATCGCATTGTTTACAGAGTTAATTAAAAAGATTAAAAACTGGAAGCATCAGTGTCTTGTTAAAATTGAAAGTCAGCTTCATTAGTTATGATTAAAAGAAACATTGGAGTAGGCTGTAATAGTAGTAGGCTGTAGCACCGCTGTCGGCGCAAAATGTACCTCAAAGCATACTGTATGGTGTATGCCTGTCTTCATTAGCTCGGATGGAATAGGAAAGTACAATGGTAACCTCCATTTCACTTCATTTTATTTTATAAGGAATTTAATGGGGAAGTCCTAGATTTGACAGGGTTTATACCCATTTAAACGAAATTAAAGGAGGCTTACTGTTGGGCACCAACTGAGCTACGATCTGCTCTTATTGAGATTTCTGTGTAAGGAGATTTTTGCATGTTTTCAGTGGTGTAAGCAGGACTTGGTTTTTCATCTGTCCTGTGCCACTTACAAGGCAGAACCAGGCTGGAAAATTTTACGGCACCTTTTTGAACCAACACCCATATCACTAACCCACTGTTGCTTTTACCCGTAAAAGAACATTTGTTTAAGCAAACAAGTTAAACACTACAATATGAATATATAGCCTAAATAGACTGTCTGGAAATTTCAGCTCAAAATATTGATCCATTCAGAATTGATTGCTAAATTTGCTTAACGGGATTACCTAACTCATTTCAGGAATTCCACAGTGACTAGATAATCGTGACAATCACGGAAGCAACGACCACGATTTTTACAATATCAAGCCTTTGCTACATTAGTCTGAAATTCCCAAACTTATGGGTATGTTATCGCCCTTTACCGCTGATATGTGAACAATAGCATTGTCCAATCAGTGATTGCGACACAAACACACTCAAATCAAATATGGTGACCTCCACGGGAACCTTGACATTGAGTGAACTTTGAACTTTGCAACTTGATTATCGCAGGTAGATATTTTAGCTGTAAAGCGTGAGACCTGTATTTGTGATGATATTTTCTGTCGAGGAATCTAAGAGGCCCCCAGCTGATTCAGTAGCCAATTCAAATTAGTGACGAATTATGCAGGGTATTACGTGAAGGATTTTCTAAGATGTGGGGTCACGGTGGCTAAGTGGGTAAGACACAGACTCGCTAGCCTAGAGGTCGGGTGTTCGATCCCTGCATTGACTGAGAAAGTTCATCCAGATTTTCAGGCGTGGTTCCCCCTTGTCAGTGATGCAGGAAGGAGGGCCTGGCAATTACCACTGTCCAGTGGTTCGGATGGGATGGAAAAACAAAGTACTGTGTACACATTGGCATGCATGTAAAAGATCCCTTGACAGTTGGAATTCAAAATAATAGTAGGCCGTAGTGCCGCTGTCCGGGCAAAATTTCCCACATAGTACACTGTATTGCATATGCCCGTCTTCATTAGCCCAGTTCTGAGCAGAACAGTAGGACGTTAAACCCCATTTCATTTCATTTACGAAGATGTACTGAGTTAAAGTGAGATCAAGCCTTCTATTGGAGATGCTAAAACATATGCCGGTATGTAGATATGACCATCCAGGCACCTTGGGACTAGCGTGGAATTCAGGTATGAAAAAGCTTTGTATTTCCGTGAAAAAGTTCTGTGACAAAATTAATTACATTTACTTTCATTGTGAGAATGAAAATATCCCTTTAATTAGAAACAAAAACAAAACAAACAGCAACTAGATTAAATTTAAAGTGATAATCTAGTTTCAGACTTGATGATAATAACACAAGTTTATAGATTTACTATACTTGTTGGTTTATTACATGCAACGTTTCAATACTCTTACAGGTATCTTTATCAAGCAATGGGGGGGTTGGATGGCCGAATGGTTAGCACGTGCGCGCTGTATCATAAGACCTGTCATTGAGTCAACTGGTGTGGTTTCGAATCCCC